AGGATTCCCTATTTAACAAATGGTGCTGGGAAAATTGGCTAGCCATAAGTAGAAAGCTGAAACTGGATCTTTTCCTTACTCCTCATATGAAAATTAATTCAAGATGGATTAGAGACTTAAATGTTAGACCCAAAACCATAATAACCCTAGAAGAAAACCTAGGTAATACCATTCAGGATACAGGCATGGGCAAGGACTTCATGTCTAAAACACCAAAAGCAACAGCAACAAAAGCCAAAATTGAAAAATGGGATCTAATTAAACAAAGAGCTTCTGCACAGCAAAAGAAACTACCATCAGAATGAACAGGCAACCTACAGAATGGGAGAAAATTTTTGCAATCTACTCATCTGACAAAGGGCTAATATCCAGAACCTACAAAGAACTCAAACAAATTTACAAGAAAAAAACAACCCCATCAAAAATTGGGCAAAGGATATGAACAGACACTTCTCAAAAGAAGACATTTATACAGCCAACAGACACATGAAAAAATGCTCATCATCACTCGCCATCAGAGAAATGCAAATCAAAACCACAATGAGATACCATCTCACACCAGTTAGAATGGCAATCATTAAAAAGTCAGGAAGCAACAGGTGCTGGAGAGGATGTGGAGAAATAGGAACACTTTTACACTGTTGTTGGGACTGTAAACTAGTTCAACCATTGTGGAAAACAGTGTGGCGATTCCTTGAGGATCTAGAACTAGAAATACCATTTGACCCAGCCATCCCATTACTGGGTATATACCAAAGGATTATAAATCATGCTGCTATAAGGACACATGCACATGTATGTTTATTGCGGCACTATTCACAATAGCAAAGACTTGGAATCAACCCAAATGTCCATCAGTGACAGACTGGATTAAGAAAATGTAGCACATATACACCATGGAATACTATGCAGCCATATAAAGGATGACTTTGTGTCCTTTGTAGGGACATGGATGTAGCTGGAAACCATCATTCTCAGCAAACTATCGCAAGAAAACCAAACACCACATGTTCTCACTCATAGGTGGGAATTGAACAATGAGATCACTTGGACACAGGAAGGGGAACATCACACACCGGGGCCTATTGTGGGGAGGGGGGAGAAGGGAGGGATAGCATTAGGAGATATACCTAATGTAAATGACAAGTTAATGGGTGCAGCACACCAACATGGCACCTGTATACATATGTAACAAACCTGCATGTTGTGCACATGTACTCTAGAACTTAAAGTATAATTAAAAAAAAAAAAAAAATGCTGTTTTCTTAGCTTAAGCTAAAGCTGTATCAAATAGCTATTCATAATTAATTTTTTTGTAAAATAGATATAGGCCTTTCATGTGACTCATATTAAATGTAAAATGCTCTTATTAGATAGCTATAGCACTGGCAATAGTTACCATTCATAAAAATAAAATTTTAAAAAGGCAAAATTAATTAATTAATTAATACTTTTTTGTTAAAAAAAGTTAAAAGGCAAAACTATAAAAAGTAAATATAACTATAAAAATTTGTTAATGGATACATAATATAAAAAGATGTAATTTGTGATATCAATAACAATGTTGGGGGGGTAAAAAAAGAGTTTTTGCTTGTGATTGAAGTTAATTCATCAGCTTAAAATAGACGGTTAAAATTATAACATGTTTCATGTTAGCCCACAGCTACCATAAAAAAAATACTTATGGAAGTTACACAAAATAAAATGTGAAAAGAATTGAAGTATGTTGCCACTGAGGGTTGGGGACAGGTGTGGGAGAGTCAAATACAAGGAAGATAGCAAGAGAGGAAAAGAGAGTCAAAAAGCCACGAGACAAAAAAACAGTTAACAAATGGCAACAGTCAGTCTTTCTCTATCAGTAATTACTTTAAATATAAATGGATTAAATGTTCCAATCAAAATATATAGAGTGGCTGAATGGATTAACAAAATAAACAAGAGCTTACTATTCACTGTCTACAAGAGACTAATTTTAGAAATTAAGGACAGACAGACCGGGCATGGTGGCTCACACCTGTAATCCCAGCACTTTGGGAGGCCAAGGTGGACAGATCATGAGGTCAGGAGATCAAGACCATCCTGACTAACACTAAAAATACAAAACAATTAGCCAGGCATGGTGGTGGGCGCCTGTAGTCCCAGCTATTCAGGAGGCTGAGGCAGGAGAATGGTGTGAACCGGGGAGGCAGAGCTTGCAGTGAGCCAAGATTGTGCCACTGCACTCCAGCCTGGGCGACAGAGTGAGACTCCATCTCAAGAAAAAAAAAGAAATTAAGGACACACACAGGCTGAAGGTGAAAGATGGAAAAATATATTCCATGCAAAAGTAACAAGAGAGGGCAGGGGTGCCCATACTTATGTCAGACAAAATAGACCTTAAGTCAAGAACTGTCATAAGAGACAAAGACATTATATAATGATAAAAGGGTCAATTCACCTGGAAGATAGAACATTTATATATGTATCCAACATTGGAGCACCCAAATATATGAAGCAAGCATTGCCAGAACCAAAGGAAGAAACAGACAGCAATAATAGTAGGAGATTTCAATACCCTATTGTCAAAATGGAGAGAATATCCAGACAGAAAATCAGTAAAGAAACAGAGAACTTGAACAACATCATAGACCAAATGGACCTTAAAGACATATATGCAGAGCATTCCACCCAACAGCAGCACAATACACATTCTTCTCAAGTGCACATAGAACAGTCTTTAGGACAGATCACATGTTAGGTTATAAAACAAATCTCAATAAATTTAAGAAGATTGAAATCACACCAGGTATCTTTTCCAACTGTATAGAATGAAACTGGAAATCAATAGCCAAAGGAAAATTAGAAAACTCACACATATGTGGTAATCAAACAACACATCTTTGAACAACCAAGGGTTAAAGAGTAAGTCAGACCACGTACAGTGGCTCATGCCTATAATCCCAACACTTTGGGAGGCTGAAGCAGGAATCACTTGAACCTGGGAGTGCGAGGCTGTAATAAGCTAATGAGGTGCCACTGCACTCCACTCTGGGCAACAGAATGAGACCCTGTCTCTAAAAAAAAATTTTTTTTTAAAGAATAAGTCAAAAAGAAAACTAGAACATATCTTGAGAACAAATGAAAATGAAAATACAACATACCAAAGCTTATGAGATGCAGCAAAAGCAATTCTAAGAGGAATGTTTATAGTAGTAACATCTATATTAAAAAAAAAAAAAAAAACTCTCAAGTTACCTAACTTCACACCTCAAGGAACTAGAATACTTGTTTACTGAAAACTATAAAACATTGCTTAAAGAAGTTAAAAACACAAATAAATGGAAAGACATCCCATGTTCATATGTTGGAAGAACTAATATTGTTAAAATGTCCATACTAATCAAAATGATCTACAGATTCTGTGCAATCCCTATCAAAATCCTGATGGTATTTTTTGCAGAAACAGGGTGGGAGAATTCTAAAATTCATATGGAATCACAAAGAACCCCAAATAGCCAAAAACAATCTTGAGAAAGAACAACAAAGCTAGAGGTCTCACACTTCCTGACTTCAAAATATACTACAAAGTTAAAGTAATTAAAATAGTATGGTACTGGCATAAAGCTAGATATATAGACCAATAGAAAAAAATGAAGAGCCCAGAAATAAACCCCACATTTACAACCAAATGATTATCAATAAGGGTGCCAAGACTACATAATGGGGGAAGGATAGTCTCTTCAATAAATGATGTTGGGAAAACTAGATGTTCATATGCAAAAGAATGAAATGGGACCCTTATTTTAAGCATACACAAAAATCAACTAAAAATTGATTGAAGACTTAAACATAAGGCCTGAAACAGTAAAATTCCTAGAAAGAAACATGCGGGAAAAGCTTCATAACATTGGTCTTGATGATTATTTCTTACATATGACACAGCACAGACAACAAAAGCAAAAATAGATAAATGAGATTGTGTAACATTTAAAAGCATCTGTGCAGCAAATCAAACAATCCACAGAGTGAAAAGGTAACCAATGGAATGGGAAAAATATTTGCAAATCGTACATCTCATAAGAAGTTAATATCCAGAATACATAAGGAACTCTTACAACTCAAAGCAAAAGCAACAACAACAAACTTGATTTTAAAATGGGCAAAACACCTGAGTAGACATTTCTCCAAAGAAAACATACACAAGCCAACAGGCATAGGAAAACACATGCTCAACATCAATCATCAAGGAAATGCCAAGCAAAAGTACAATGAGATATAACTTTACTCCTGATAGGATGGTCATTATTTTTTTAAAAAGAAAAAAGAAAAAGAAAATAACAAGTGTTGGCAAGGATGTGCAGAAACTGGAACTCCTGTGCACTGGGTTGGTGGGAATGTAAAATGATGCAGCTGCTATGGAACACAGTATAGGGGTTATTCAACAAGTTAAAAGTAGAATTACCATATAATCCAGCAATCCCACTTCTGGGTATTTATTCAAAAGAACTGAAAATAGAATCTTGAAGAAATGTTTGCACACCAATGTTCAGGGAAGCATTATTCAAAATAGCCAAGAGTAGAAACAATCTACATGCTTATTGATGGATGGATAAAGAAAATGTGGCGTATACATAAAATGGAATATTACAAAGCCTTAAAAAGGAAGAAAATCCTGTCACATGTCACAACATAGATGGACTTTGAGGACATAATTCTAAGTAAAATAAGCCCATCATAGAAGATTAAATACTGCATGATTCCACTTATGGGATATTTAAAGTAGTCAAACTCATGGAACCAGGAAATATTAATAGAATGACAGTTTCCAGGGGTGGGGGTAGGGGAAATGGGGTTCTGTTCAATGGATGTAGTTTTTGTGATGCAAGATGAAAAAGTTCTAGAGACCTGCTGTATGGTAATGTGCATACAGTTAACAGTACTGTACCATACTCTTAAACATTTGTTATACAAACACACAACACACACACACACATGCTATCCCAGAAAGCTGTACCACTTACCGAGCTTGGTGGAAAAACCACCCAGTGTTTGTGACAAAGACCGAGCCCTTGGGTTCAACCTTACAAAACGTTATTGGAAGTCAGAAAGAAAATTTATTTAGCCCATCCATTCCATTCATTACTTTAGGATTCACTTTAAAAAAAAAAAAAACCCTGCATTTTTGTAACTGTAGCAAAAGTATTTTCTGTGCCTAAATAAGACAAGTCAATTGTGTGTGTGTGTGTGTGTGTGTGTGTGTGTGTGTGTGTGTGTGTGTGTTTTAAGGCTCCCTGGGTAACCCTGATGCTGACCAGCTTTAGGAACCACTGTCAATGAAAGCAGAGAGAGTACAAGGTCCAGGAAGCCCCAGGTTACGTGTATATAGGAAGAAATACACTAGGTGAAGCCTTACAAGTCTCCTGCCAGGGGCCTGCCTTTGCTCTGGTGCTGGGAGTCTGCGCACAGAATGTGGAACTTGGAATGCACACTGGAACCTGGCACTGTTGATTCCTTCTTCACACAGATGACCCTTGCAGTCTGACCGGGCAGCTTGAATCCAAACAGCCAGGCTGTCACTGGGGAAGGCTGGCCAAGTTTGCCAAGAGGAGGCTAAAAGGGATTTCCTTGGCACCCGGGGCCATGACCGGGGTTATCCTTGCACACTCAGAATCTCAGTTAAGTTGGCACATGGTTCCCTTTAGCTCTAGGGTGGGCTCACCTTAACAGGTATGCTTGGGGACCCAGGCAGCCAGTTTGCTAATTTACTCATGAAAAATACAGCTGTCATGTCGGTGGATCATGGCCTCCTTTCCTTCTATGTGAGTTGCACGTGAAGCCAAATCTGAAGGTTGTTGAATAAGAAACCAGCACAAGCAAAATTCACCAGATGGTCTTTAAGAGAGCCACACCCACAACAGGGGATGCTGTGTTCCAGCTCATGAGGGAGGACATCCTCTTCATGCCCAGATAGGGCCTAATGGGCATCGCCAGCTTCCACAGCGTCGGCGTGGGCTCTGCAGTCAGACTGCCAGAATTCAGATCCTGATTCTGCACTTACCATTTGTATGACTTTGGCAAAGCAGTATACCTCTCAAGGCCTCAGTTTCCTCATCTGTATAATAAAAATAATAGCAGCCACATCATTGGATTATTGTAAGGATTAAATGAAAGAAGTGAGATGTTTAGCACAATGCTAGGCGTGGTTAATCTTCATGTCTGGTAGTTATTATTATCATCATGACCACTACTACTACTATTATTATCCTCGTCTCCTCTGATTTAGGCCTCACTCTTCATCACAGTTGTTCTGTGTGTACAGGATACCTATGAATGATTAGGTTTCCACTCACCAAAGTGGAAACATATTCTAGTCTTGCCTCTTTGTAACAAACTTAGCAGCCCCGCCTGGAGTTAGTGACCCTCCTCTCCACAACACTTCATGGTACCTTTGCCCACAGTCTCAGGTGGCCAGCCATATCCTTTGTGATGGTGGGGGAAGTTCCTGAATTCCATGGGATGAGGTGGAAGTCATCTCACAGTCTGTCACACACCTTTGCACCTGAATCTGCAGTCCTGAGTTCTCGTGTCCCCTCCCTGCACCCCCACTTCTAAATAGCTCATTAGTGCTGGCACATGAAGGCAGCTGCAGGGTGGGGCAGAGTTAAAAAGCAGGGATTGAGCAAGTGCCTCTGCAGGAACACGTGTGCCCATGTAATGTGTCTGGCAGATGTAACTTCCGGTCTGTCTGGGATAGAGATTATGAGCCCACATGGGCCTGTGACTTAAGCAAAACAACAAAACAAACCAAGAAATGTGAAACACACATGTCTGTTCTTGCACGAGGGCTCAGACACTTCTACACCGCTGAAGCAGGCGGATACTGTAAGTGGCATCCACTCCGCCTGTGCTGGGGACAGCAGAAAGGGCCCTGCAAGCCAGACTTGGCTCTCATGAACCCTTCACTACAGGGGCCTCCCCCTAAACACAGCCTCAGTCCCACTTAACAGCTTTGGCTTATGCTGCTGTCTTGGCTATGTTTCCCTCCACTTAATAAATCCTATCCATATATTCAGGCCCAGTTTAAGCCCCACCACTCCTTGATCTCTGGACTCCTCCTCCAAATGACAGCATGGTCTGTTTTCCAGATACAATTCAGAGCTGGATTCAGTGTCTGTTTTGCCAGTTATTTTTGCTCCCTTTAGGAAACTTCTTTGAAAATGAGAATCTCCTTCCCTAGCAGGGACTGAGTGCAGATACATGCTCCTTTAACATGGATTGGTTGGATTAAAGGCTTGGGGATGGGAGGAATTTTTTTTTTTTTTTTTTGCCTTTTTAAAAATTGCGAAATACAAAATGCAGTCAGACAAGTACATAAAACAGCAATGTCTGGCTTAATGAGTATTACGAGGCAAATATCCTTTAACCACCATCCAGATCAAGAGAACATTGCCAGCATCCCAGAAGCCTCTCCATATGACCTTTGGGAAGCAGACATTTCCAAACTGGTGATTGTATATTCGTGGGCGTGGGAAAGGTCTTTATTTCATTTTTATTTTTATTTATTTATTTATTTATTTATTTTTGAGACGGAGTCTCACTCTGTCGCCCAGGCTGGAGTGCAGTGGCCGGATCTCAGCTCACTGCAAGCTCCGCCTCCCGGGTTTACGCCATTCTCCTGCCTCAGCCTCCCGAGTAGCTGGGATTACAGGTGCCCGCCAACTCACCCGGCTAGTTTTTTGTATTTTTTTAGTAGAGACGGGGTTTCACCGTGTTCGCCAGGATGGTCTCGATCTCCTGACCTCGTGATCCACCCGTCTCGGCCTCCCAAAGTGCTGGGATTACAGGCTTGAGCCACCGCGCCCGGCCTATTTCATTTTTAGAAATGGGTCTCACCATTATGCTGAGGCTGACATCAAATTCTTGGGCTCAAGCAATCCTCCCACCTCGGCCTCCCAAGGCGCTGGGATTATGGCCATGGGCTACCTTGCCTGGCCTGGGAAGGATCTTTAGAGGAAGTGTGAGCTGGGAACTCTCTTCTCGGGCCCATGCCTGCACGAGCGTGTGAGCATCTTGGGGAAGTGCCAAATCCACAGCACCATGAGATGGAGGAGGCAACCGCAGGGACTGCTTGGTGGGCAAAATGTGTCTGTCAACCTGGAGCCCTGCTCAGACCCTGCAGCAACTGCTCTTCATTCCAGCTAGGATTTGTAAGCAAATCTGAGGTCAGATGTGTCTGGGTTGTGCTTCCTACCCCTAGGCAAAAGGGAAGCAGGACCAAACGTGGGCCTCCAGACACTTAAAGATTGCAGACTGAGGAAGAAGGAGAAGGGGCTTTCCAGAGCTGGGAGCACAGGGCCACTTACAGGGCCCAGGAAGTGGGTGAGAAAATGTAGAGGAGTAATGACTCCTTTGGGGGATTTTAAATATTGAGTATATGGGAAGTGGGGCATCCCCTCTTCTGTCTTTCTTTCTTTTATTATTTATTTATTTATTTTTGAGACAGAGTCTCACTCTGTCGCCCAGACTGGAGTGCAGTGGTGTGATCTTGGCTCACTGCAACCTCCGCCTCCTGGGTTCAAGCGATTCTCCTGCCTCAGCCTCCCGAGTAGCTGGGACTACAGGCGCCCGCCACCACGCCTGGCTAATTTTTTGTATTTTTAGTACAGGCGGAGTTTCACCGTGCTAGCCAGGATGATTCGATCTCCTGACCTTGTGATCCATCCGCCTTGGCCTCCCCAAGTGCTGGGATTACAGGTGTGAGCCACTGTGCCCAGCCCTGTCTTTCAAAAAGTATTTTTTGGCTGAGTGAGGTGGCTCATGCCTGTAATTCCAACACTTTGGGAGGCAGAGGTAGAGGACTGCTTGAGCTCAGGAGTTCAAGACCAGCCTGGGTATCATAATGGGACCCCATCTCTACAATTGTGCTTTTTTTTTAATTAGCCAGGAATGATGGTGTGCGCCTAGCTACTTGGGAAGCTGTCCTAGCTACTTGGGAGGCTGAAGTGGGAGGATTGCTTGAGAGGTCAAGGCTGCAGTGAGCTGGGATTGTGCCTACTGCACTCCAACCTGGGCAACAGAGTGAGATCCTGTCTCAAAAAAAAAAAAAATACTTACTGAATACCTACTATGTGTCAAGCACTGGGCAGACACCAGAGATAGAGCAGAGAACACAACAGACACCAGCTCTGCCTCCCAAGCCCATGAGGAATGGGGGAGAGGAACCATGGGCAGGTAATCACACTAAAGTAGGGTGTTTAGGAACTGACACTTCCAAGAAAGCCGAGAATGAAGGAATCCCATCCCTAAGCCTTCCTTCCAAGCTCATCATGGGCTCTTTTATAATATATTGGTTTTTTTTTTTCTTTACTTCTGCTAAAAAACAAAAACAAAAACAGGGCCAGGCACAGAGGCTCATGCCTATAATCCTAGCACTTTGGGAGGCCGAGGCAGGCAGATCAGGAGTGACCTCATATTTGAGGTCAGGAGTTCAAGACCAGCCTGGCCATCATGGCAAAACCCCATCTCTACTAAAAATACAAAAATTAGCTGGGCGTGGTGGTGGGCGGCTGTAGTCCCAGCTACTTAGGAGGCTGAGGTAGGAGAATGGCTTGAACTCGGGAAGCGGAGGTTGCAGTGCACCAAGATTGCACCATTGCACTCCAGCCTGGGTGACAGACCGAGACTCTAACTCAAAAAAATAAATAAATAAATAACAGGATAATGGCAGAACGTGCAGGTTTGTTACATAGGATATGTGTGCCATGGTGGTCTGCTGCACTTATTGACCCATCCTCTAAGTTTCCTCCCCTCGCCCCCAACCCCCAAAAGGCCCTGGTGTGTTATATTCCCCTCCCTGTGTCCATGTGTTCTCAATGTTCAACTCCTACTTATGAGTGAGAACATGCAGTGTTTGGTTTTCTATTCCTGCGTTACTTTGCTGAGGATGATGGCTTCCAGCTTCATCCATGTCCCTGCAAAGGACATGATCGCATTCCTTTTTATGGCTGCAGAGTATTCCATGGTGTGTATATACTACATTTTCTTTATCCAATCTATCATTGATGGGCATTTGGGTTGGTTCCAAGTCTTTGCTTTATAAATAGTGCTGCAATAAACATATGTGTGCATGTGTCTTTATAGTAGAATGATTTATAATCTTTTGGGTATATACCCAGTAATTGATTGCTGGGTCAAATGCTATTTCTGATTCTAGATCCTTGAGGAATTGCCACACTATCTTCTTACAATGGTTGAACTAATTGACATTCCCACCAACAGCGTAAAAGTGTTCCTATTTCTCTACGGCCTCACCAGCATCTATCGTTTCCTGACTTTTTAATAATTGCCATTCTGACTGGCATGAGATGGTATCTCATTGTGGTTTTGATTTGCACTTCTTTG